GTCTCAGAGCGGTCTCCTGCCTCATCTCGGTCGTCGGGCATCCGAAAACACCATTCTTGGCGGTCATACGGCTCCGAAATCCGTCAGCGGAGCGGACTCCGTGCCACAGCCGGGATCCATCTCCGCTGGCGGCGGCGGCAGCGGCTGCGGCGGTAACGGCAGCGGCGGCGGCAGCGCTGTTGGAAGGACTCCAAGGACCTCTTCCAGCGATGTCCTGCGTTCGTTCCGCCCTGGGAAGGATTGAGCAGGTCGTGACGCGCGCCTTTGTTCCCTTGAGCGAAAGCGCACATGTGCCTGTGGGTGCTGTGGTCCGGAGGAAAATGAGACTCTAGTTGAAATCTAATTGAAATCTAGGAAATGTAAGTCCGCTTGTGGTGGGGGACCCGTCGAGCCCAAGGCAGCAAACCCAAGCGAGGGAGAGAACGGGAGGGGAGTGAGGTAGGGGGGTAAACGTAGCAGAAGACGTTTACCCACTTCAAACGTGGCAAAACAATTACCGAAGGACTGAAGCAACGAGCAGCCCAAACGGTGCAAGTAGGCCTTGTGAGGAGGGTTAGGGAGGGAGGGAGCGCGTCGTGGGAGCTGGCGAGGGGAGACTGATGGCCACTTGCCTTCCGAAACACCTCTTCTCCCGCCCGAACACGGACATGTTGGCTTGTTGCGCTTGATGGAGCTGCCTGACGTGTCCATTCCCAGGACAACTTAATTCATTAGTCGGAGTACTGGAAGGCTTGGGATTGCCGTACGACATTTTGGATGCGCTGACTGGTTCTGATATGGCATCTCGTGTCTGTTTGGCTGTACGGGACTAAAAGTCGAGTTTACAAATGGGAATTCTGGTTTGTGGGTGCGTGCGTGGGCGGGTGGGTGGGCTGATGAATTCATCAATATAGCAAGAGGCGTTAAGAGAGGTTTATTAACTGCTGTGGTATAAGGTGCTGTTGGTGCATCCAGCAGGCCAATAAGGCCCATTAAAAGAGCAAAGCTATTTTTTGACCCTACACGTAGGGACAACAAAAGGGGAGAGGAACGAGGGGGCCGAGCGCGATGGAGGGAGGGGACCCGGGGAGGCGGAACGGGGGAGGCGGACGATTAGATTAGAAAGTATCAAACATTCTTTGGGGACACTCGTCCATTCCTTTCGCTTTTTTTGCTGAGAGTTATCTGTGTCTGTGCGTGTATGTATGTTTGTTTGTTTGTGTGTCTGTTCTTCCCCAATTGGGAGATGAGAGTGCATGTTCTCAAAGTAGTAGGTGAGTATCCATCCAATAAAAAACCCTTTATCTTAACCTGATTGTCTGACAATATTGCCTTATGCATGGTGAAGTGTGACCAGGTACGGCAGTTAACCATCTGTGAGGTGCATTGCCATACAGACTGCTCCGCCGGGACCCGCAGTATCAAACACAACAATTGTCGTACTTGTTGTGTGGTACAACGGACACTGCGGCTTCTTTCCCGCTTGCCTTATGACTTGGGCTCTGAGCTCAGAGCACACGTTTCTCATTACTACATGCCAGTGTACGTACCTATCCATCTCTCATGACAATCTCTCAAAGGGTTTAATACCCCGTGCCCAAGTGTACGGAATGCATTAATAAGATTCAATACGGCAATGCCGTTTAGTTGCGATCTGCCGCCGCAACCCGCGAGAATTGTTTGAGTTTTCCTTCCCGTTCCAGCGAATGCCTCAATGGGCATTTTGAGGGGGCTCGCATGTGCACCCTTTTAGCAGGTTGCGATGAAGTGATGGTGACGATGGGGACCTGGCTGCATGAAGCGTTTGAGGATGGTAGACGGGGTTCTGAGTTCTTGACGGAGATGGACTCCCCAATTTCGCGTCAGCTGTCGTTGCGCTTAAGTGCAAGAATGTCAGAAGGGTATGTCAGATGTTCCAGACTGCGGTGTTGATAGCGATGTGTCTGTCCTCTCAGGCTGGTTTGTGCGCGTGTGCTCTTGTGGCTTGTGGTTTGTAATTCTCGGTGCAGTCGATAGCCGAGGCGGCTGTGCATGGGAATGGGTGGGGAATATAGTACATATGCTGTAGGCGGCTGCTGAGGCGGCGGTTCCACCTCATCCTAACTCGGCAACCATGGCATGGCTGCCTTATATCTCGTAATGATTGTGTGTTTAATGGCCCTATGTGCTTCATACTGCTGCGTACGGCGTGTGGTACGGCTTTCTCCGATGCATTCCAATCATTATGATGGCACATCTGCTTGATGTACAATTACGCTCTAAAAGTAATTTTAGGCATTTATCCCGTCATGCGCGGCGGAGTGGCTCCTGGATGGTTATGTTGGGTCGCCCGGGGGCCTCCAATCTGTGGCTAGGTCCTCGGAATTTTTAAAAACTTTAAAGAAACCCTGATTTTTAATTCGTTACTCGAAAGTTGTCTAAGAAGACTTAGAGAACTTAGGGCAGGTGGTGGGCAAGGGGCCCCTTGGCAACGCCCTTCCCATGGGGCCGCCAACTCGTTGCATTTTTACGCCTGGCTTGTGGGGTTACTCGTCTTTTTTCCATTTCTTCTTAAGTGGGCTTTTGCCTTCGGGTTTAGGCAGTGCGCACTTGATTACGCGAAGCCGGTTTTGACGCAAGTTTCCCCAATTTATATTGGCGCATCCGCATTGCCCCCAAGGCGCGACTCATTGCTTCAGGACAGTGGAAAAACTAGATGGACCTGGGCATGCCGCTGCGAGGCATGGGCAAGCCCTGTAAATGCGTATCGCCCCCCCTGGCCCCCATCGCCCGGATCCTGTGTGCATAACCAAGCTCCTGTAAACCCGAGGACAGCCGATGACAGATAGATAGACCGCCAAACAGTCGGACCAGGAGAGAGTCGGCTTGGAGGGATCAGGACGAGAGCAGAGCATGGCCCACCACAGTAATGAACCTTCCCGCCGCTTCCGCGGAGGACGCAGACTGGCACAGCTTCACGACGCCCTGCTGACCCGCTGTCGTACGGTCACGTCGCAGCATGGCCTCTCACCGGGTTTTTTCACCGTTGCCCTCCACTGCCCTCCACTGCTCTGCCATGGCGATCTCTCCAACCCGCTTAACGAGCCGCGCTCTTGCACGCACGGTTCCTTGCACAAGGATCAGACCCACCATGGAAAGGCCGCGAGCGAATCTGACAGTGTTTGACGGACGGGTTGAGTCCTCCGACAAAATTTTGACTCGGAACACGTCCCTTACGGCCGCTCCACAGTCGGAAATGTCACCCTCCGAAACCAGATCGCTCGCAGCATCCAGACTCTGTTGCTATGTTTTTGAAAATTTAATCCTTCGTTACTATTAGGCGATCGGACGGCTAAGGGCTGTCGACCAGCTAAGGGCAGGCACCCTTGAGGGCAAATTGTAGGGCCTTATTGGGTTGCGGGGCGCTGGCGCCCTAAAGGCCACCTTCCCCAGTTTCCTGGGCCTAGCAATCGCCGGCTTGGAGGGCTCTGGAGCGGTGACAGCCTGGGGGAGCCAGAGCTTACTCCGACATCGACTTGCTGTTGGCGGGCCTGGAGCGTTAGCTTTGCCTCCACCTAGGCCCGCGCCGTCCAGATCGTTCCTAATCAGGCAACCCATCTACTCATAGAGACTGCTTGGGGGCTATAACTTACAGGGTGCGTGATCCCCACCGGCGTGTGTCTCAATGTTTTGGGTTGCTGTTTGAAAAGCACCTTTAGCCGTTTAGTGTAGGACATCAATGGAGGGTCAGAAAGCTGCATTACTAAGGCGCGCCACTCCGCTGCGTTACATAGGCCGTGAGGCTGGGTGGGCTGGGTTCCCTCCATTTTAAGAAGGCGCGAGCAGGCGAGAGGTGGTTTCTTCTTGCCGTAGCTAGCGGCCATGGCCATCTTCTTTTAAACAAAGCTAGTGACAGGGGTGAAATCTCTCAGCCCTTTTGCAGAGGAGGGATTGGACGCGGCGCCACGGTGGTCAGATCTTATTGTGGCAAACATGGGCGGATAAACCAGCGCAAGCGTGTACACATGTGCATGTGCGCGCGCGTACGGGACGGAGACAAGTCCAGGGGATGGGGAATTTCCCCGGAAGCTTTCAGTGATTACCGTGATAAAGGACAGGTCCTTGGGGACTTTCGTGATTCATAAGAACTGTATATATTGCAAGGTGAGCTGGGCATCGCGTTAGCCCGGAAGGTGGTAGCATCGCTATTTGCCATCTTTACCGTACTGGATCAGTCGCGGAACATGTTGCGCTTATGCCAAAGCTGCGACATGTTGCTATCATAAGGAAACGACACTCAGGTCGTACATTTCGCTTATAATTTGTGATGCTGCCCGACAGTCATCCGGATAATATTATCGCGTGCGTGTGGCTTTTTCCACCGTTGGATAGCCTTCACATGTTCACAAGCGCGGGAATCCTGTAAACTCTGCGCCTTCCGATCAGCTGTATTTTCATAGCGAAAGGATGTGCGAGGATGGCGCCCTCGTAGCTCCCTGCAGTTAGGCTGGAGTTGTAACCGTTCTTTCACAGCGCTGGGCTCAGCTACCGCACACATGTACTCTATTAAACCTCTTCCGTCCAAACATAGCAGCCTAGCGCTGAGATCACATATTCAAGCCCTACCAAGCTCGTTGGGAAAGTCAGTTGGACTTATTGCTGGTGTGAGCAGTCCCGTATATCATGTTCAAAATAAAAGGGAACCCAATACAGCAGCCAAGGTGCTGCACTTGACAGCGCCCATCATGGCTCGGCGCTTTGCTCGTAATCGGAAAAGTGTCGCGGCGCCGGGATGCAGCACGGCGGCTTGTAGCCGCAAGCATGTACACCTCGATACTAGGCTAAAATGCATTGACGGACCTGGGTCACGTTATCGCTGCTCGGCAGCAGCGGCGTCGGGTCTGGGCCATAGTCACAACCACCATCGCCACGACCATGACCACCCTCATGACCACCGCCACGACCATGGCCACCATCATCACCACCATCATTCCGATCATCACGACCATGACCATTACCCAGACAACTGGGCAACGCGTGCGATGCGCTGTGTCGGCCTGGTCCAGCTGGCGTCCCGGATTGAGCACTCGGGACCTCTCGCCGGTGAGTAAGCACGCCAAGTCAACCAACTCTCGCTCATGACTTAAAGTCTCGCGTACGTGGCACAACCTGCATTGCAATAAAGCCTCCACGGGACGAGGAGGGGAATAAGCAATCGGGAACAGAGGGTGGCGCTCTGTAAAGAGGTGGGGGGAAGACTTGGGTCTGGAAACAGATGAACCGCTCAGAGTTGGAGGGCGAGCTGGAGGGGGAAAGGGAACTGGTCAACGAACGCGAATAGTTTCGGAGGGGGGTTAGTTGCTTTTCTAGCAGTTGTGGGCCAGTGCACACCGGAACACTCGGGTGCCGCTGCAGAGGCAAGTAATCACTAGAACGGGTCCTGATTGCTGAGGTCCTCACACCGCTCCATCCGCTTCCAAACTCTTATACTGCAATACTCCACTCCCACTCCCCTCCCACTCTGCACCTCTCCCGCACCGTGAAGAGTTGTTACACGCAATCATTCCAAGCACCCAACCCAGTATCCCCTTTCCCCCCCCCGTCCAACCGCATGCCCCGGTCCCCTCCTGCCCGCTACCTTCCCTCCCCTTCCCTCCCTTGCCATCCCATAGTCGCCTCCATCCTCTGCTTCGTGGTCTCCCTCCTGGCCGCCGTACCCCCGCTGGTGGGGACGCTGCTGTCGGAGCGTACGGCAGCGGCCCTTCAAACCGCGGCTCTGTGCGGGACGTACCTGTTGTCCGGTTTGCCCCAGGCGGTTTCCTCCGTGGCTCTGGCTGCGGGGGGCCACCTGGACACCCACGTACTCATGTCCCTGGCGGTGGCGGCCACACTGTACCTGGGCTTGGCGCATG